AAATTTCAAGCTTGGCAGAATATCTGGAGAAAATGTAGGATTTTCTTTTCTAGTCTCTTTCCACTCCTTAGGGCTGCTTTCATGGGAATGTTGCCCTGATATCTGATATGCAGAACATCGGAAGGCTGGCCCCGCCTACATGTGATGCCACTGTGTCTCCTCCAGAACTTGCAATGGCAAAGAAGTCAAACCCTTATTGGCAATTTTTTTGGGGTAGCTGAAATGCTGTAAAGCACGCATCAGATAGTACCCACAGGAAGACAGACTTTGCAGATAAACATCTTCAAGCAGTGACTTCAATGACCCTGGAGATTCAGGGAGGGGATGGCATGGGGCTGAGTAGGACCCAAATTTGTCATGAGTTAGAGCAGATGGCAACTGTGACCAAGGTTCTCACTGTGTCTGGTATCATGGACCCTGCCTGATTTAATCTCTAGAGGGGAAGTTCTCCAGGAACACAACGGGTGTTCAGTAAGTTGAAGAAAGTTTAAAGTAGATCCAGGGGGACAGGAAACTAGTAAGAAGAATTTGTTCCACAGGATAGGAAGAGATGTTTTACAGGGCAAGTACTTGGCTCACAATGCAAAGGCCAGTCCTCCAAGAGGCAGGCTCTGGAGTCCTAGTATCACACCCAAAGTGGGAAGTTTCCAGAATTACCATGTTAAGAAGCTTCTGTAAGCCTTCGTAGTAAGGACAGGTAGTGCCTCAGAGGGCCCTTAACCAGGTTCACACTCTCCTTTCCAGGGCGGGGCCTACGTGGTGAAGCTGCTGGAGGAGTATGCCACAGGGCCTGCAGTGCTTACGGTTGCACTTATAGAAGCTGTCGCTGTGTCTTGGTTCTATGGTAAGATGCTCTCTTCAGCCAGCTAGGATCCTTTTTGTGTGACCCAGCCAGCACATTAGAGAAGGGCTGATTTCATCAAAGAAAGGCAGGGATGGGCAATTTACAAGGTACCACCTCCTGATGGGTCTGTAAGATAATCTCAGCCGAATGCCTTCTTCAGAAATAGGTCATCATTTCCTCCACACTTGAACTTAGTACAATGGATTGCCTGTGCTCTAGGAAGGACATTTTTTTCCCTTCTGAGTTTGAATGTTTACCCAGTGGAGACAGGCCAAAGCAGTTCCATGTAGCTCATCCACAGTGATTAAGATCCTGGTGGGCTCTAAGAATTGAACAGACAACACAGAACTAGTACACAGTGATGCATTTGCAGAATGTACTCTGTAGAATGTATACTACTGTTATATGGAGTGGCCCCATATTTAAATTTCTCAAGGAAGAGCTCCTTCCAGAGCCCTGAGACAGAGCTTATCTTCTAGGTAAAAGGCAAGAATGCTCTTATTTGTACCATTTGCCTTGGTAAAATCCTCAGATCACTCCCCTCTAGTCCTAGGATGGAATTTGATAAGGGCAAAACCCACCAGAGGTACAGGAAGTAAGCTGATGAGTCCATTGGCAGAGGTCCCAAGAGGTGTGGAAAGCACAGGCAATTAGAAAGAGGAACACTGAGTCCAAAGCTGCCTCCTTCCAAATCAAGACGTGATTATTTTATTGTAAAAGTATATTTATTGGCAGGGTACAGTGGTTCATGGCTATAATCCCAATATTTTGAGAGGCTGAAGTAGGAGGATTGTTTGAGCCCAGGGGTTGGAGGCTATAGTGAGGCATGATTGCACCACTGCATTCCAGCCTGGACACAGAGCAAGAACCCATTTCTAAAATAAAAAAGTATTTATTTTCAGGCAGCACCTGTGGTTCAGTGAGTAGGGCACCGGCCCCATATACCAAGGGTGGCAGGTTCG